TGGGCCGGGGAGGAGCCGGGGCAGGGCGGCCGAGGTAGCGCGTGCCGAGCGTGGCAGTGGTGCAGCTTTACGCCGCTGAGTTTTTGTATTAGCTTAAAAAAGAAATTGTAAAGGTGTTGCCCGTGTTGGCAAGGCATGTAACCCGCTGATGCTGGCGGTGCTTTCCAGCTTTGTCTTGCTTCAAAACAAAGCATTACATTAAACACACGGTTCAAACCTCGGAGCCTTTTGAACTGTGTGCAAGCTTGTGTCTCAAGTCACCTATGGCTTTAAGGAAGACAGTACAACATTATGAAGACAGAACAGAGTGCATTGTCGTACAATTATCTGGGCTATTACTTCCGCCTTCATAGCAGGTCATCCGTCTTTAACACTGCCTACAGAGCTTATTCTGTGTGTAAGCAGTGAGGCAGCTGCAGCACACACGTGGCCTTGCTGCTGGCCAATGTGCAGGACAGCCTGGGAAAAACGAGTTGCAACCATCACTGAAGATGCAGCTAAGCTGAGCGAGGCGACAATTTCGGCTTTTGGAGAAACTCTCCTGTCAGCATCAGCTGCTAGTGCACACCAAGAGAGAGACCTGTTTGGCTTCCCTCTGCCTTCAACCTCCCACACCTTGCAAAACCATAAGCAGCCCAGCGCTTTTTTCTCTACATTTTATCCCTTCTGATGAGAAGCCTAGATGGAGGTCTGGCTGTAAGGTGGTGCTTGTGACTGTTACAGTGTAGAAAGGAAGTGAAGTAACACAGAGGCAGAAGTGGCACCAATGTCCACGAGGCTCTTTCTTCAAACCAGGTAATAGTCTAAAGCAACACTGCAAAAACCCGCTACCTCAGTTATAATCTTGATATAAAATCTAAGAGAGTGAAAAGACAGAAATAGCTGTCAACTCTGGTCACATTTGTTCATCCATGGAATACATATAAATTTCAGTGTCCAGTGGAAGATCAAATAACCGTATATTTCCCATTCAGCTGGAATGGTAAATATGTGTATTCCCAGGTTTATACAGCCACTTACTAACAGGCAAAACAGAACCCCACATTAAAATTCGTTTTTCTTGGTTGGAAAGCCAAATATTGAGTATACTAGACTCCTGACTATTTCCTGACAAGTCTCTGTAGAAGGAAAGTTCCTGCTTGTATTAATGAAGTCTAGTGGATAAGCCTATGAAGTTGCCAGGTTGGGTTTTTTTAAATCCCACAGGTTTCCCTGCTGGTTTGAAAACAATGGCTATGGTGAGTGATGTCAGCTTTTTTCCACAATGAGACTATACTACAATCTACAGTCAGTACTGGAACAAGAAGCAACAGTACTGTCATAAAGTCAGTTTTCTCTGAAGTAAATTCCAGGATCACTAACAAACTGGTGTGTGACTATGTATAGTGTTTTCTTTCTTGAAATGTGATTTATACTGTTCCAAAGCTGAAAAGTTCCAATTTCTCTTTTTTCTAGTTCAGATCTCATGACCAGTCTCAAATGTCTGAGTGAACTGTTTATTTTTCTAACTTCTTCCATGTCCTTATTACAAGTAAAGTTTCATTCAAATGTTAGCACATTCCCACAGAAACCCTTTTTGTTCTGAGTACTTTGAAAATCTGCACAGGGCTGGCGAAAGCAGAAATTTTGAAACAAAATTCATAATTTCTATTCACCTTTCATATTTCCAAAATTATCATGGTGTTCGAATGTAGCTGAATTCATATTTCCTTGTACAGAAGTGTCAAGAATTATGTATTGGTTGCCCTGTTCCACTAGAACTGGATTACCTTGTTGCTTGATCATAGTTAAACCATTACATTGAACTGTCTTAAATACATACTGCAGATACTGCACAGTCACAGTCTGGATGTTGCTATCATATTTTCTAGTATTTTGGGGGTTTTATTTATTTTATTACTAGTTGAGGGAATTGGAATCCCAATCAGAAAAAACTATTTCTCTCAGACAGTATTATCTTAAAGCAAAAGAATAAATCCAGGAAATGGTCTATGTTCAGTCTCTTATATTTCAGTTTATCTTTTCTAAATTCAGGGTTAGATAATTTGGATGTTGTTTTGGAATCAGTGATTAAAGAAGTCATTAGAGTGACACACAAAGTTACAGTATCAGCATGGATTTATCATGCCATACAAAGCATGAACTAGACACTTTTTGCCATAGCAAATGGAAACTTGGAACAAAAATATTTGAATTACTCAATGAAAGCAGGTAACATCTACTCTGGTGTGCAAAAACTCTGGAGGTGGAAAAATACAGGAAAATGGCAAACAAAAGTGTCTGAGAAAACTGCTTTTTACATATCCCCTATTTCAGAAAATTTCCTAGATGAGCAACTGTCATTTTTTCGTCTAGTTGCATATGTGTCTCCTCTGTTAGCTGATGAGGTTGAGAAAGACTCTGAAGTCTCTACCAGTTTTTCTACACTGGTATTTCTGATTGGTTAGAAGCCCTCTTAAAACTCAATACTTAAACATTCTTGCTCTTATTCACTTCCTCTTGCTGTGTCTTGGCACAAGTTTAGGCAACATCATATCTCAATCTGTAATGAAAAGAAATGACAGGAAACTGCAATAGCTGCTGAACACTTCCCCCACCTCATTTCTTCAGGCTTATGTACTTTTTTAAAAAAATAACTTTTAAGGACTGACTAATGTATGTGGACCTGTATATGGGCATGATTTGTAAAGCTTTGTCTTTTGATACTGTTTCATTTATCTGTGCTCTGCAGAATGCAATGTTGAACTATTCTGATGAATATTCAAGCTGACTTGGGGATCAGTGCAGTAAAAAGAAGCCAGGTCAAATAGGAAGCACTTTCAAACATTGCTATCACAGCCACAGCACTTCTAATTCTCCGCCATCCTTGCTTAAAACTACTTCTGATGTCTCTGCTCCTGAATTCATTGTTGAAGAGAAAGCACACACATTCTTAAAAGGTAACAGGGAGCAACAAGATACTCCATTTGACTTACATGTGATCCTTGAGGAACTGGAAGTCGTCATAGTCTTCTAAGTTTGCTGCAAGAAAGGAACTATATTGCCTTGACCCAGAAACATCATGACACATTGTTAGCTTATCTAAATCTTGAAGTTAAATGAAATTGAGAGCAATGGAATATGCTGAATTTGAAAGGACGTGCAAGGATCATTGAGTCCAGCTTCTGGCCTTGCACAGGACAACCCCAAGAATCACACTGTGTGCCTAAAAGCATTGTCCAAACACTCCTTGAACTCTGATTTGAACTTTGATGCCATAACCACTTCCCTGGGGGAAACTGATCCAGGTGCCTAAAAATCCTGCGGGTGAAAAACCTTTCCGTAACATCCAACCTAAACCTCCCCCAACTAGGCCTCAGGCCATTCCTTTGGGTTCCACCAGTGGTCACCTCAGAGAAGAGATCAGCATCTGTCCCTCACGATGAAGTTGTGACCTCCACTACTCCTCATACAACTTCCTCTAACTGGCCAAGACTTGATCCAGGTGAAGACTTGGGTGACAAGAGCTGTCAGTGTGCAACCCCCATAGAAATAAGTGTCTGGGCTGGTATAATACTACATTGTGAAATGAGAGTAGTCTGCATCAGCTACACAGAGGAATTAGGGGTTGGTAGGCTACAGCTCAAATGCAGTACAAGCTGCTGGAGGGTACAGGTTCTGAGTTCACTTGACTGTAGGAATTATGTCTGCTGTTCATTACTCTTTGCTCAGGCTGCAGAAAGCCTGTCCCTTCTGCAGTCAGACTCATCCAGCTGATGTATTAATCTTTCTTCTGAGTCAGAAAACACACCTGGTTCTCACTGTCAGGCTGGGATACAGAGGCACTATTGGAACACTTTTGGCATAGCAGAGCTAATTAGGAAGTATAGGTGAATCTGTTTCAGAGTAACTGTTATACTACATTCTAGGATGTGGTGTCTAGTGAATTTGCATAGTCTTGGGAAATACTGAAATTCAAAACCATGTTCTACAAAAGCATTGCTCTTTTCCTACATAGTCTAAATAAAACCGTATAGCATTGTGTTGTACTTCCGTCTTCTTAAATACTCACAAAATCACAGTGGTTAAGTGCCTCAATACAAATAATGTTATCTTTAGAAAAAGTAACATTGATGGCTCAGCAAAATAGAACTGAATCACTTATGGAAGTATAGCAGAGAATAATTTCTGAATGGATTTTTCCACTACTCAAGACAGTACTACATGCAAACCTGGCAAAGCTCATATATTTAATTTTGGCATGCTTTGTAAAAGATACTCAAAACAGCACAATGTAATGCCACCTTACTTTATCATGAGTGAGTGTTCATTACTCAAAGTGTGTTGCTCCTGGTATATTCTATTTATACTTTTGTTTCTTTGCTGAAGACTTAGAGGTTCCAATTCCATTGACAAAGTGCATTTTGGAAATGATTCATACATACTTTGAAAGCATTTATCTATAGCCAAAAGGTCATAGATAATACATAGATATTACTAAGCTGGAAATTTTAACATTGTTATTCAAAAGAATTGTTGAGAACATTATTGGATTCCAGATGAGTTTTTTATTGATTTAATGTGTTCCCATCATACATACTACCTCAGTGCTGCTTACCTGGGTTATTGTATATTTAACACTCAGTAAAGCTCCTTTGCTGTGAATTTAATTATATTTTTTCCCATTGCTAATATCTCTATGTAATAATATATGGCTCTTACTGTTGCTTCAATCTATAATTAACAGTAAGAAAAAATTAACCATCTTTGGTGATAGTCAGTGGTTCAGATTTAATACAGTAAATCTGTAATTTGAGCTTTGTTCAGAAATTGAACAATAATATACTGTTTGTTGTAGAATTACATGTAATATCCCAGATGATTTATGTATAATAGTGAAGAATGGGCTTCCTATAACTGCTTCATTGAGAAGAACTAGATTTTGGTCTTCTATGAGAATTTCTGCCAGGCTGACATGCAGAGAAAAAATGTCAAGAGTTCAGTTTACCTTTAATAATGCCTTTATTATTTTAATGGTTAATGAGATGCCTTTCAATTCCTTATGAAGCATTCTGTGTGGAACTAGTGATCTGATTTCATGGTAAGCTTGCTATTCATGTGTAAAGAAGGCAAGATAAGCTACTTTACCTCAAGGGTGGGCAAATGGGGATTTGAGTGTGAGGGAAAGGGAGGAATTTGCTATTGGACAGAATCCGGAGCACATTTCTTGTATGGATTAATGCAGATCTGCCAGCCAATGTGGGAGAAAGCTGTATCAATGATGTACTCATTCCCTGCCACTTTCTGCTCACAAATGCTACTGGGAACACACAGTGGCTCATCAACTCTGCTCAGCTCTCTACTGTGAATAGTGCATACAGGGAAGTAGGAAGTGATGCCACTGAATTTCTCACTCATGTATGGCAATGAACATCTTGTGTTTAGTAATTAGAAAATCTGAGTAGTTTAATTCTCTTAATTTTATGCATATTAATGCTACTATTTCCTGCACAATTTGCTGTATCCTCATCTGTGTTTATATTTTGGGACTTTGACCCTTTCTCTGAAGGCGCATTCTTGTTGGTTCAGTCAGCACCAGTGGCTCCTGTATAATGGTTGCTGGGTAATTTTTACCTAAAAGTTCAACCTCCAATTTCTGTCCAACTTTGCTGAGTTCCATGGGAACATATGCAAAAGCTAGACTCTGCTGAGCTCCATAACTGAAACATCCAGATGTGGTATTGCCAACAACCTGGAAAAGAGAAAACAACAATTGTATTTGTTTTCAAGATACAGTGTGATTTTCTGAAAAAAACCAAAAAAACCCAGCCAAGAACACAAACAACTAGACATCTCACATTCTAATTTATACACTTCAAATATCATGCAATTGTCAAGTGTGTCATGCAGTTCATGATATTCTCAACAGAGAGTAACACCACCTGAAACTGGGAAGTATTTGCTTTTTGAAAAAATACCCTATTCTTATTATGTTCAATTAAGTTTTCACTGGAACATATACAATACACATGCATATTTTTGTTATCTATAACAATTTAACTGCTAGTGAATATTTCAACACATAATCTGTGCTGAAGTGTGGAGCCCCAAACTTTGCTGTTGTTTCATTTCTTTCGAGTAGCAAAAGCATTTTCTTAGAACGGGAGTGAACTTGCAGAAGAGAATGGATGACAATACTTCAATCTGTTCCAACCCTAGTTTCAGTGACTTGACAGCATTTCACACCTTCTCCATAGGTACTTAGTATTTACTCCTTGCTTGAAGATTAGGGTGTTTATCATAGCTTCAAATTGTTCTGAGCCAGCAAAATAGAAATAATGCATTCACACTTGAAACACAAAGTTTCCGTTCATGGAGAATTAAAACTGATTTTTTGCAACATGAACTATAGTCCTTACCTTGCCATTGTGCCACACGCTCTCATTTCCCTCTGGATCAACATTATCTGTTTCCAGGGTGAGGTATACCAGTCGTCGTTTGAGCCCCTTTTCTTTAATCTGCCTCAGTGCTTGTTTTCCTATAAAGTCTGCTTCCTGAAAAAAATACAAGGTAATGATGATATATGTTTGTTTGGGTTCTCCAGTATGTTTAGAGATATAAACATTTAAAGGTATCTTAATGTCTCTGCCTGTCACATAAGTATTTTTTATAAAATATAGGTGAAATCAAATCTTTGGCAGATAGTATAACTTGTATCTTGGTATTTTTATACTGGTATATTATATCTTGATAACTTTATTCTTTATATTTGTTTTCCTAAATCTCAGCCTTTAATTTCCACAATTCCAATGTAGTAGAAATATCATTAGCCATGCTATTAGACTACCTGCCCAGTTAAGGTTGTAAGCCAGAAGACTGTACATCATTTCAGTATCTATGACAAGAAGTGAATTCCAATACCCAGGTCCGAAAGTCTGGGCCTTGCTCTGTCAAGATGCTTCCTTTTGAAGCCATCATCAATTTATGACAGTACCCTGTCAGTATCCCACTTCGATGTCTCTGCCAGGCTGCACAGCTGGCAGTTTACTCCATATTCTTGTTTTAGGGAAGGTATGTTTTTTCCCATATCTACAGTTTCATAGGATAATGCAGCATGTTCTGTAAAGAATACTTCTATTGCCTGGATTTCCCTTTTTCAGCCTGCTTAGAAAGGTACGAGCAGATTCTCATATTTCCAAAAGACTGCACAAATGCATGGCAAGTATGAGGGTACTTGTTGGCAAGTCTCAGAACCCTCAAGGGTATCTAGGACAGTATTCACTGTATCTGATCACACTGAGCTGATTTCACTAGCCCGAATCTATCACAGGTAGACAGGGGGCCTCATTTAGGTAGGAAGGGGCCTCTAAGCTCACTCGGCGAAATCTTTCACCAGTCACTGTCTTATCAACTGCAGCATAGCACAAAATGTCACATCCAGTTGTTTCTGGAACATCTCCAAGGATTGTGACTCCACCACCTCCCTGGACAGTCCTTTCCAATGCTTAACAACCCTTTCCATGATGAAATTCATCATGATGTCCATTTTTTCTCCTATGGCATAGATCAGACAGAACAAAAGGATTGTATTCAAACTAAATTGCCAAATACACACAACCTGCCAGATGGGCAGAAACATAATAGCAATTTCAAAGTCTTCTAGCTTTCCAGCCTTTGCTTCACTAGCAGTGAAAGCCGTTTTAAAGGAGTTGATCTTAGGTCTGAAGCAGGAATCATGTTAATTTGACTAGTGTTTAAAGGAAAAGAAATGAAATATTGTTGAAGTCTTCAAAAATACTATTTTTGGTAATGTTCTTTGATTCAGTAGAGAATTATTGCACTGTCAGGATTACAAGCAACACATACATGGAATAGATATAGTTAGTTCATGTGTTCTTGTATTTCTTGAGATCCACATAAATCTGTGTGTAGGCTCAGAAGAAAATATTTAAGTGATAAAGTGTTTTGCACTACGGAAGGCCAGGCTCTGTAAAGAGTTGTGAGAAACAGCCTATGAGCGGTTAAGGAACAGTTAGTCTGAAAATCAAGGTGATTCAGCTAGGGATAAAGCAGATACTGCACATAAAGATCAAAGCTGGCACCCTTTGGGGAAAAAAACCCCATGAAATACAGCTCAGATCAGAAAAAAAGACTGTGAGGATTCATTTTAGAATATAATGTGAAGATGCTGCTGCAAAATATAAAGCAAAGATCTCACACAGAATAACCAATTACTGGTAGTTCCCTCTCACTTTTCTGCTACATGGTAGGTGCAACTGTAGGAAACACCTACAACTAGAAATGCAAATGACACTGTAAGCCATAGCATGACTCACAGAATAAAATGCTTTGCATGACAAAGAGAAATACCAAGAAGTAAACATTCTACAGGGATACTTAGCACTGAATCAATTCCTTCCTATTCATGCTTATGTAATATCAGGTATTTAGTCACATGGAATGTAACTGTGGAACTAATTACAAGTATTCAAATGGAATGTTATATGCCCTAGGTATAGAAACCACTAGAACAAGCTGCTAGCAGGTTTAGAATCTACCTAAGTGTAGATAATTTTTTGCCTGTTGCTTGCAGATCCAAAATTAAATCTTTTCCCAGTTAATTTTAACTGGGCCAAGCTTTTGGCCACCTGGAATAGCCACTACATAGCTATTATGTTAACTGAAGATGCATATCGGGAATTTCATGTAAGAGCTTTTTCTTTGCTATTTTCAGTTCACAGAAGGTTAAGACTATTCCAGTCTTTTTAGAATGATGGCTTGGAAAAATAATCAGGATGTAACCTAGAATTCAATCTTTGCAAAATACACACCTCTCATATATATATACACCCACAGCAAAAATGTGTGTATCTACATATACAGATACATAAATGGATGCATACATACATATTTGAACACTGCATGAACATGCATAAAAATGTGTGTGTAAAAATACATGTGTGTATCTGCGAAAGTCTATATACACTTTTCAATATTTAAAGCACCTTCTTAAATTCCAGCTATAGGAATTCAACTAGTTCAGTTTACT